AAAAAAAAAAAAAAAAAAAAAAGACCATGAGTCATGTCAGTAATACAGTATTATTAATCAAAAGGACAGTCAGTCACTGGCAAATGATCCTCTGCACGCTCCTTCAGGTATGTTCAGACTTGTAGCACACTGACTTTGATTTCCTCCAACCTGTGCTGCTCAGCTGACCTTTTCTCACCTTGGAAAAACCAAGGCTGCGTGTTTGCTCCTGTATGTCACTGTCCCTCCCCCAGTCCTCTTGTCTTCCAGACAATTTTGGTATGCAGATGTGTCCAAGTAATTCAGTAATACTTACTGTTTAAAGTCAAAAAGAGGTAAAGAAACTTTGCCCAAAGCTTCTGGCCCCTTTCTCTGCTTATTAGAATCAGGGGAACTTCCACTGCTCTGATTTAAAATTCCAAAAAGAGTAAGGTGAAGAAGTGATTCTAATGGTAATTGCGATATCTGGATGGGAAAAATAATTCTATGGAGGGAAAAATGTATTAATAGAAAGATCAAATTAGATTGAAAGTGAAGTTTAACCCTTTAATGAGACTGACAATTTTACGTATATTATTTATCAAGTAATCTTTAATCCTGAGTAAACTTGAGCTAAATAGTAAGTTGGGCTAACTTGTACTGCTAAAAATCTTAAATAAGTAAATTTTATTAACAGTTAAAATTTCAAAATACACCATTTCTTATATATACACACACACACACATATATATATACACAGACATATATGTTTCCCAATGCATTTTTTCCTAAGTCTGAAAGAATTACCACATGAGGTCAACAGAGGGTCACTCTAAGACACTAAGTGTTGAAAACTGGGTGATCTTTTTACCCCATATACATTTCTGTGTTATTTTATTGTTTTCATAGACATTATTTTGCAATTTAAGAAATAAAAGAGAAAAACTAAGAAACCATTTAATAAATGTGGAACAAATACCAAAAGTCCAACTGCCTATCTACCTAAGTGACAATTCCCTTAGTTAAAAACAGTATTTTAAAATTGTTAGTACTATATCTTGTACATAAGTTTAAGAGCAAAGTGAGCAATGTTATAAAACATCATCTTTTTAGAATTTTATGTAAATTTGCATTTTAACTTGACAATGGCTAAAAAGAATTAATAATACGTTTTTGCAATTTAGTAATATGTAGGTTTAAAAGAATGTTTCAGACTTTTTTTTTTTTAAACAGTCTCACTCTGTTGCCCAGCCTAGTTCACAGCAACCTCAAATTCCTGGGATCAAGGGAGCCTCCTGCCTTAGCCTCCAGAGTAGCCAAGACAACAGGTGCCCACCACAACACCTAGATAATTTTTTTTTCTATTTTTAGTAGAGATAGGGTCTCACTCTTGTTCAGGTTGGTCTTGACTCCTAAGCTCACATGATCTTCTTGCCCTTGGCCTCCCAGAGTGCTAGGATTACAGGTGTGAGCCATGCACCTGGGCCAGTATTTCACATTTTTAAAAGAGAATTTCAGTCTGTTCTATAGAATCTTATCTAGAAGAGACCTCAAGATATCAGTGAGAAGTTAATGAATTTCAATGGAAACAGTAATAAAAATTAAAGCTTGATGTATACAATGAAAAAAGAACAAGGTACAGTGAAAGAATAAAAAACTATAAATTTTACTTACAGCTCATCCCATTTAATAAGATAGAAGAAATTCTTATAAGTTCCAACCTTCTTTGATTGAATAGGCTTAAAAAGATCCCTTCCATTGTGAGACAGGGAACATACCAAGTAGTATTTTTCATAACTGAGGGAAAAAAAGTTTAATTTCATTTCTATCTTAATATAAATTAACTAAATAATACAAATACATTAGCAGTTCTTCCCAAGTGACTAATTCCTGAAATAATATGGTCACCATACATTTGAACTTTTAAGAAATCATCTCAAATTTCATTGCAGATTCTATGAAATCAATGAAGAGGGAAAAAAAACGGTGAAGAGGTATAGCAAAGGTGCTACACAGGAGAGCACATAGGGACATGTGCTGATACCATAATGATGCAAGCTGCTGCACTTACTTAAATTTGTGTTCAGTTAGTTACTAGCTTTAGACTCGGTTGGATGACTCTGAGTAACATATTTAATCATTTCTAGGTAAATTCTAGGAAGCAAGCGCAAACATTACCTTCTCTCAGTATTTTCCTTTGCTAAGCTACTGAAATAGAGCTAAACATATGAATAGTGCATGGACCTGACTTGCATTGAGCCAATCTTCCTAGTCTATTGGGAGGCTTCCATCCATGGGGACAGATGCTATTGTATTGTCTCATTAGACAGCAGTGACTTAGCCAACAATTGCTACCAAATACAGAGCTGGTTAGATACAGTCAGGTAATTTTTTTTTTTTGAGGCAGAGTTTCACTATGTTTCCCTTGGTAGAGTGATGTGGCATCACAGCTATAGCAACCTCCAACTCTTGGGCTCAGGAAATTCTCTTGCCTCAGCCTCCCGAGTAGCTGGGATTACAGGCGCCAGCCACAACACACTGGCTATTTTTTGGTTGTAGTTGTCATTGTTGTTTGGCAGGCCCAGGCTAGGTTTGAACCCGCCAGCTCCAGTGTATGCGGCTGGCACCCTAACCACTGAGCTACAGGAAACCAAGCCCACTCAGGTATCTTGTAAGGCTGATTATTTTTATTGAATTCAAGTTCAGTAAACTATTCTACTCATGATCCAACATACTACTAGGTGTATATGTTAAACATTTTGTTCTTATGTATAATCTATTTATCATTCTAAATATATTTAAAATCAAATTTCATTGGTTCACAAAATACTCCTAAGCAAATTGGTTACTTTTCTCAGTTTCATTCCCTTTGCCCTTATTTACTTCAACATTTTATTAATTTTCTTTTCATCTTAATTATCAGTTTTCTGTATTGTCTTCCACTGGGCATTTGTTCTCCTCATTAGTGTCCTTAAATCTATTTCCATGTGTATATGTGTATAAGTACAAGTATGTGTGCATGTCTAACTGTGTATATAGATGTGGAGAGTATTATCTCAATAACTATTTTTAAAATGAAATACCTTCAGACAATGGTAAGTTCTTGGAAAGCAGAGGGTTTTCTGCTGCCCTCTAACTGATGAATTCTCAGTACTAACAACACTATCCATAGATGGTACTCAGTAAATAATACCAAATAAGTTAGAATACCACCTTTTAAGTCAATATGCTATTTTTTCATCTAAAGCACAATGTAAGCAGAATTTATTTTGGCATTTCTTCCATAGGCTTTATTTCATAGAATACAATATTATGAAACTTTCACTAAAAATGTCATTTCAGACTTTTCAGTTCATATTAGTCATTTTCAAATACATTAAAATTGGCAAAAATTTGCTATGTCTCATGGTATTGACAAAATCAAAAGGAGAAAGCCCATTTTAAAAATTCAATAGAAGAAATATGTAGATTTCAAAGCTTAGCAATCAGTAAACATAAACTACAAAAGGGGTGGGAGAAGCTTGAAATTTAGTCCCATTGTACTGTTTAAATTAGACTAATTCTTTTTTTGTTTGTTTGTTTTTGAGACAGAGTCTTATTATGTCACCCTCGGTAGAGTGCTATGGGGTCACAGCTGACAGCAACCCCAAGCTCTTGGGCTTAAGTGATTCTCCTGCCTCAGTTTCCCAGGTAGCTGGGACTACAGGTGCCCAGCACAACGCCAGGCTATTTTTGTTGTTGTTGCAGTTGTTATTTTGTTTAGCTGGCCTGGGCCAGGTTCAAACCCGCCAGCCTCGGTGTATTTGGCCAACACCATAACCACTGTGCTATAGGTGCCAAGACTCAAATTACCCTACTTCTAAAGGAAAGGCAGAAAGAACAGTAGTCTTAAATTGACTTTTAGTGGGGGGCAACAGAGTCTCACTTTGACACCCTTGGTAGAGTACCCTGGAGTCATAGCTCACAGCAACTCAAACTCTTGGGCTCAAACGACTCTCTTGCCTCACCTCAGCCTCCCAAGTAGCTGGGACTATAGGTCCCTGCCACAATCCAGGTCTGTAACTCCTTAGCTCAGGCAATCTACCTGCCTCAGCCTCCCAGAGTGCTAGGATTGTGGGCGTGAGCCACTGCATTCAGCTTTTAAACTGATTTATTAACATTTGCTCTGGTAAGTTTCAACATATATCTTCCTATCCTTTTTGATGTAAGGATTAGGTATTTTTTACTATAATAGCTTTAAATATCTATGATTTTTTTTTTTTTTTTTTTTTTGGCATTTTTGGCCAGGCCTGGGTTTGAACCCACCACCTCCGGCATATGGGGCCAGCGCCCATATGTGGCTTTTAAACTGATTTATTAACATTTGCTCTGGTAAGTTTCAACATATATCTTCCTATCCTTTTTGATGTAAGGATTAGGTATTTTTTACTATAA